CCTGAATCCTAAGCTGCATACCCTCAACCCCTAAACCCCCAAACCCTGAACACAAAATCCTGAGTCCCAAACACCTTAATTCCTAGACCCTAAACCCTAAACCCTAAATCCCTAAACCCTAAATCCCTAAACCCTAAATCCAGATTCCTAGACCCTACCCTAACTACTGATCGACATCCGTCCTTCGCAGACTTCCGTGGCAAAGCCCAGGCGCCGAAAGAGCCGGAGCCAACCTCGCCGGCCGAGGCTATGGGCTTTACTGGGTTGCTGTTAAAAAGATATAGGGTTTAGGGTTTAGGGTTTAGAGTGCCATACTGGGTTATTGTTAAGGAAGGTAAGTTAGGTAACCATATATGGGTATGTAGGGTTTAGGGTTTAAGTTACCGTAACATGGGTATATAAGGTTTGGGGTTGAAGTTACCATAATATTGGTACATAGGATTTAGGGTTCAGGGTTCAGGATACCATAATATGGGTTTATTGTTAATAATGGTTCTTGTAGTAACTTAGCTTAAGTTCCTTGACAGCAACCCAATTTAGGGTTTAGGGTTTCGGGGGTCGAGGGGTTGCGATTTATGGCGTCGAGGATTAAGGGTTTGGCGTTTAGGGGTTTAGGGTTGGGGTTCGGGTTTTTGTGGTGTAGGGTTTTTGAGCGTAGAAAGCTTGACGAGTTTAGGTGCACATGGATTAGGGATGGCCTTCCTTTTCAGAGTTCCGTCAGGTTTTCCTGTGGGGTGTATCCCCGCAAAAGGTGGGACATCTGAGGTCCGGGTGGGGTTTGGGAATTAGGAGGGACATCTGAGGTCCGGGTGGGGTTTGGGAATTGTAGTTTAGCGTTTACAGGTTTAGGATTTGGCGTGAGAGGACTTGGCCTAGGATGCAAGGTGTTTAGGGTTCAGCAGAATTCGAGGATCAGGGCTTTGGGCTTGAAGTCTGTAGTAAAATTTGAACGACAGAAGTGATCAGGGTATGGCTTCAGAGGAAAAGTCCAGTTTAGAGCAATGTCGACGCATCCATCCCTCACCACTTCATCACCACCAATCGCTCAGAATTGCTGAGTGGGGCTCTTTGCCCTTGCAAGGGTTGTAAGGTCGATGCACAGCAATAGACATGGTAGCCGTGGAAGCTTCATGCATGATATGCAGATCAGGCAGCACTGACACTGCTGACAGCGATGGCCAAATCAGTTTATGAAGAGAAGCAATCACACAGTAAGTACGAGTGGTAACACCACAGGTTCACATAGTAGCACGCTGCAAATGACTGGAGATACAGTTGGGGTAATTAAGTACAGTTCCTAACATATTCCCTAATAGGAACCCATGTCCGTTCTGTATACGGGAAATATTGACTGTAGTCATAAACCCTAAACCCTAAAAAGTAGCATCCGTTTTATTTTCTGCCTTCTTATTCCATTTGCTTGTCCATGAGTTCGCTGGTATTGATTGTTTCTCCTATGAGCTATAGTCTCAACTTCTACTAAGCTTTAAAATACTTCCCTGTATAACCCCCTTTAAGGAGTGTAGACTGTAGCTCCTATGCCTATGCTGAAGGACGATGATGATGATGAGGACGATGACGTCGTTGTGGCAGACCCAGCCGCGGCCCAAAACGGAATCATGGGGGGGTTTCCCAAAATTAGGGTTCCTTAGCAAAGAGTTATTTAGAGGTTACATAGGAGGATATAGACTTTCGGATTTTGGGCTCAGGGTTTCCCAAAATTCCCCTTTAGGGGGGGGGGGGTCTCGCGATACGGGGTCTGTATTCGGTGCTTCTATTCATGGAAGCTACCATAAACAAGGCTTATGATTATAGGCTTAGCTTTGATGGTTCTAAGCCTTTGTTCATTGAGTTTCGGGTCGGGGTGCAGATGTTCTAGGTCCAGAGTTTTGAATTTGCAGTTCTGGCTAGGAGTTTGGAGGTTACGTGCTAACCAAATTCTGTCATGTGAATTTGAACGCCCTTATGTTACTGGTGCTTAGCAGGGAATAAGGGAATATAATCCGTACATCATCCCAATACAATACATTTTCTTATTATTCCCCACTAACCCTAACCCTTGAACCCTATTTTACCCCTACATAACTCTAGACTCTTTTCGACCCCTTCATGAAAATCCTAAGCCTGAGACCTTAAATCAATGTATTAGCCTAGCTAGGGCAAGGCCAAGTTGCAACCAGACAATGCCTCATAGTTTTTCATACTTACTACTAGATATCGCAAGTGTGTTGTAACATACCTACCTAGCCTTTTAACCCTACACCCCCATGAAACCCCGGCATCCATTTCAATTTCCTGTTTCTTTTCCATCAGACTCGCTCCCTTTTGGCGGCAATATCCCCCAAAACCCAACATAATCCGCACATAATCCGGTATAATTCCTACCCAACCTATAGGACCTCTGTCAACTCCATAGACCCCCCTAAGTATTAACTCCCAAGGCGCCCAATCCCCGGCGCTCATGGCGAAGTGCCAGCGCTGGGAAATCTGAGCGCCTTCCCGCCGCTGTGAAGCTCGTCCGTTCGGAGTCTAGGGGGGACGAGAGGTTAGGTGAGTAGTATTTCATTTGAGGATATTACGGTACCCGATATAGAGTAAGATTATGTCCTCCTTTTGGGGTATAGTATTTTATATAAGGAATATAATCTTACTGGGTTTAACCACCAAAAAAAACGCTGCTCAGGTGTTTTTGGAGGGCGTAGGGGTTGTGGGGAGTTAAGGATGCGGGTGCAAGGAGTGGTTGAGGCTTCAGGGCCAAAGGGTGTCGGGTTTATCGTTTTTAAGGCATAGGGCTAGTTAAGAAATCTGATTAAACGGTTTAGGGTTTTTGGGTTGAAGGCCTAGGCCTGAGGGTTGCAGGGTCAGGCTACGCGTTGAGCTGCTTAGGGGGTTCATTCAGAGTGTAGGTTGGGGGGGGGGTCTGGGTTCAGGATAGGATTGCATTATAGTAGTAGTCAATGTTGAACGTCTAGGGCTTTTGTGTTTACTTGGCAGGGGTTTGGAGGATTTGAGTCTCTGCACGTCAGGATGAATGGTTTGGGGGGTCGGTAAGGCTACAGGTCACAGTAAGAGGGTATCTGTCGTTGACTGGTGTCTTGTGATTTTTAGATCCCGGGGTGGCTCCTTCACTCTCTTTCCGTATAGATGTAAATACGCATAGGTGCATATGACATATTGACGGAGGGTTTGGGCGTGGTTGTGGCCTAGTTCACATTGACTTCTACCAGACAGAGACTCCAAAGCCTACACCGGGGCTTAGAACCATCAATGCTCAGACCCTAAACGTTATGCCGACAAACCCTACAAACCCAAAATCCCTAAACCCTCAAGCCCTCAACCCTGACGCCCTGAAACCCCAAAACCCCCAAAGCTCTTCAGCTTCTCAAACAGCCAAGGAAATCTGAGCGCTCCGAGCGCTCCCAGCGTGGGGATCGTGCGGATCGCGCGCAGCGTGCGGATCGCGCGCAGCGTGCGGATCGTGCGGAGCGTGCGGAGCGTGTGGAGCGTGCGGAGCGTGCGGATCGTGCGGAGCGCGCGGATCATGCGGAGCCTGCGGATCATGCAGAGCATGCGGAGACTTCGCCCGCTTCCCCAGATACTGTCTTCCGACCAGGGAATTTGTCAACATTGCCCCTACATAAGCCTCAAGAGAGGGCTCATAGATTTCGTTTATCCTTGGGGTTTCTACGGGCTCGATATTTTGAGAACACCACAATTGACATGGAACCTCAGAAAGGGCATTTTGTGTGAGTAGTGCTCACATAAACGGCTCTATGTAGGGTTGCACCTTAGTTGGGTACTTGGAGGTCCGTTGTACTTATAACCTACTCAGTAACTGTAGTTTAATTATAAGCCCCATAACTACAGTTACCCTACATATAATTGGATTATAACTACAGTTACAAAGTAGCTTGTAAGTAAAACGGACCTCCAAGTAGGGGGTTTAGGGGAGTTCCTGCGTCAGGAGCTCTGAAAGGATTCGAATGGGGACGAATGCTAGGTCTTGAGTGTTTATGTTTAGAAATTGTTTCTTGTGACTGTGGTGATAGTTCCGTGTTAAAGACCTTGGACCCTGAAGGTTTCAGGATTCGGGGTTTAGGGTGTAGGGTGGTGTGCATTCGGGGTTGTGCGGTTGTTGACAAAGGCCTATACTTTTTGCGCTGGGGTGTGGCTTGATGGTTTATGAAAGCTTCCAGTGAAATCCGGAACGGAAGCTCCGTGATGTATTGTTTCAGTTCACGGGCATCTGTTGGCGCATCTATTTTGGCTCCCTTTGGGGCCATAGCCCATAGGCAAAGGGACCCCTAAACGCCACAGCCTTGGTCTGGAAATCCATCCTCACCCCTAACGCCCCAACCCCCCCAAAATCTCGAACCCCAAAGCCCAGATTCTCAAGCGTACACTTTAAATCCTGCGGCCTACAGCTGGAAGCAAAATCCCATCCCTGAATCCTAAGAATCCTAATCTGAACCCCGAAAGCACCTCAAGTCTACTTTCAAATCCTTAGATATATTGGGGTCATATTAGGGTTATATTAGGGTTATATTCGGGTTATATTAGGGTTATATTAGGGTTATATTGGGGTTATATTTGGGTTATATTAGGGTTATGTTGGGGTTATATTGGGGTTATATTAGGGTTATATTGGGGTTATATTCCTCAGATATCGATGCCGGAGTCTACATCCCTACCTAGGCCTTCCAGTGTGGTGTAGCCTAGGGGTCCTAGAAACAAACCATACCAAATTCCCAAAAAGGGTTACATGAGCTTTTTTGAAAGCGTAAGGAGCCCTGGGGCCCTAGGGTAGGGAATAAAAGGAGCTAAAATAGGGTTATATTGGGGTTATATTGGGGTTATATTGGGGTTATATTAGGGTCATATTAGGTGTATATTAGGGTTATATTGGGATAATGGAAAAGAAAATGGAAAATCATGAAAGGATTATTTCGAGAAACTCCCATAGGATCCAGATGACCTGAACTCTTTAGAACCTACCCAAGGTCGCCGACCGACCAAAAGGACCAAAATCAACGTGGTCAGCGCAGGTTCAGAGCTCAAGTCTCTAGTCTTTTGGGTTGGGGACTAAGGCTTGAGGGTTCAGTCTTTTGAGCTTGGGATCTAGGGTTTAGGGTAAACCCTAAACCCTAAACCCTAGTTAAGGGTTCAACCTTTAGGGTATAGGGTTCGGTCTTTGGTCCTTGGGTTTGGGACTTAGGCGTTATAGGGTTCATGGTTCAACATGATCCACATGTAATGCCTCTCAGCTCTAGACAAGTCCTTCAAGAGCTATGTCGACTGCTGGTAGGGTTACGTGTTTGAACTTGGGGCTTAGGATTTTGAATGTGGGGATTGGGTACTCGTGTTCAGGAGGATTTGGGGCTCTATGCGTTATTTGCCATTAGTTTCTCAGCCTGATGACTCTTCCAGCTGTTGATGGGCAAAATCCTTCATGACTCTGCAAATCTAGACACTATGAGATATGGTGCTCTAGTATTCCTGGGGTCATGCAGGATTTCGTCCATCAAGCGCAGTCCTGCTTCCTCCTAGTTGACCAGCAGCAAGAAGCAGGGTTCCATTTTAGAGTGTGGGGCTTGACTTGCTGAGGGTCAGCAGGGAGTGCGGGAATATCATCCCTTTACAATTAATCCATATATATATATATAGATAGCATATTCTCTTATTCTTAACTAACCCGCTGTAACTTTAGGGATTGAGGGTTGCAGGTTCTGGGTGGTGCTCAGAATCACTTTCGCAACAGGAGTCTTCATCTGGAACCCATTCCCCCGAGAGCCAGGACTTGAGTCCCCAACCCCGAATCCCGCACCCTAAACCCTAAACCCCTAAACCCATGAGCGCAAAACTTCATCCCACCTTCCCCCTGCCTGTGTGGAAATGCATGTGGGCACGTCTCAAAGGGACGGTGGTTTAACCATAGACCTTGCCCTGCATGCTCTTTGGGAAGTTTAACCCCAAGCCCCAAACGACTTCGGCACCGGAAGGCTTCTTTCGATAAAGGAAGGTGTGCTGTAGAGCTGCTAGTAGGCTGCTTCCTTGCGGCCCACTTTAGGTTTTTCCAGGATGTGTAGGGATTCTGTCACAACACACAGTATCAATCTTCGAAAATGGAACTCAGATGGAGCCTGCTCTGAACACCCACCCAGGGGCCTGCGCAAAGGACCTTTTGGAAAGCTAAAACTGGGCCCATAAAGCCTAATTTGCCTGAATCCTGAAGCCTTTGCGCTCCAAACCCTCAAACCCAAAAGCCACAAACACCCTCGCGACCCCCTAAAACCCTAAACTCCCAAATCCGTACACCCTCCATCCCTCAGTCCGTTCCCCCAAACTCCCAACTAAACTCCGAAACCCTAAGCTGCTTAAAGCCCACTTTCAACCCCAAACATCCCTGCAAGCGCTAAACTGCACCAAACTCCTGTAAGCCTCCAAACCTGATGCCCCCCTAAACTCGTATAAGCCCTAAACCCCAAATCCTAAAGCCCTAACTCTAAACCCCTAAGCCCTAAAGCCCTAAACCCCCGAACCCCTAAACCCTAAACCCCAAACCCTAGAACCCTAACACCCTAAACCCGAAGCCCTGGAATTCTTCAGGCGAGGGAGCCGAGGGGGCGTTCGAGGCCTCGGCCGCCGAAAGAACGATAAGCCTCAGGCGCCGGCTTTCTCGGTGGGGGGTCGGATTTGGGGGTTAGGATGTAAAGTTCAGGGCTTAAGGTTTAAGATTTAGGGTTTAGGATCTTGGGTTTAGGGTTCGGGGTTTTAGGGCTTAGGGTGTTGAGGTTCATAAGGTTTGGGATCTTGAGGCTTATAGGGTTTGGGATCTTAGGGTTCCAGGGGTCTAGGTTCGGGTTTACGATGTGAATGAAGGTTCTAGGGTTCAGCGGCGCAGGCCTCGGACGTAGGATGTGGGATCTTAGGGTCCAGTTTAGGGTTTAGGGCTTTGAGGCGTAGGGTGTAGGGTTTTTAGGCTTTAGAAGTTAAGGATCATGGGGTTTCAAATTTAGCTGGAATGGCTTAGGATCACGGCGTATGGTTTCCAGGGTCAGAGTTTAGGGTAGTTTGGGGTCCATGATGTGATGGTGAATGAGTTTAGGGCAAGAGCTTCGTTAGCTTGAGGTTTGCCATACCCTGCAAAGCACAGCGCTCTTGTGTGACCACAGAATATGGAACTGGAAGTCGGTCGTCATAGTAGTAGGATGTAGTAGGATCGTACACCCCCCCGAAGCTAACATGAAGCTCCATATAGCCCCTTCATAAGAGGCATGCGGGTCTTTGTAATGCCGTTCTTAACGGGTACTGTGCAATGGTGCTTCGCAAGGCCACGGCAGCCGAATGGCTCGATGCGGACCGGGAGGCTGTGACTGTGAAGACACAGTGGCTGGACGAGGTGGCAGAGGGTTTGGGTGGTTTAAGGGTCGGTTCTTAGCAGGGAATGGAGAAATGGAAGCGAGAATGGACATCATTGTTTTAGTGGGGTTTATATACAGGTATACTAAGCGTGCTACAGGGATCCTTTCCGGGGCTTGGTGGATGGAACTACAAGCTGTGAAATTTGTAATTCGTCAGCTGCTCCATAACTTGCGTGCTTGAGACAGTAAAGTGCTGGGCAAGAAAGATCTGAGGCAGGCAGGCTCATACCAGAGGCAACCAGGCTTTGTCTCTTGCCTGCCGAACAACGAATTGTACTCGCTTTATCCAAGTCTTAAGCATGAATCTGTAAATAGCCTGCTTCACAAGGACGACCATAAACCGCCATAGCTCGCAAGCCCCAAGCTGAGAAAGGAATCGAGTTGCAGAGATTTATGACATCTCTATGATTTTGGAAGAGGAGCCGCAGACGCAGGATGTACTAGCAAAACTCGTAGCTGTGGACCCATTTTTTGTATATTGAGCCCCAAGCCCTAAACCCTAAACGCTGGATCCCGCACCGTATCCATCGCATTTTTTCAACCTTTACCTGTTCTCAACTCAGATCACAAATCCCTTGCCAACTCCCTTGCCGCAGTGTCCGGACCGGACGTCGCCATTGGAACCTGCGCCGACGGCAGGTCGTGCACTAAGCCGTGCATGGACTTACAAATCTTTCAAGGTTTCAGGGTTTGGGTTCGAGGACTTCCAGGATCAGGGTGAGAGCTTCAGGGTATCGGGTCTGGAGGGGTTTGGGTTGAGGGCTTAGTTGGGGTTCAGGGAACGTATCAGGTTTGAAGTTTCGAGTTCAGGGTTGTGGGGTACAGGAAAGTAGGGCCAGGCATGGGATGATGGCTTCAGTCTGCAATGGTGTCTCTTAGATCATGTCCCTGCATTTCAGGCACAGCAAGCCATATGCACCAGGTGTTAGAACATCTCATTGGGCTGCAGCTTTCAGGCACAGGGCTGGGGCTCTCTCACTTTCTTGCGCGTGTTTAACTTGGTGGAGAAACTTCAAGTCCCTGCATCTCGCTCACATGTACTTCTGGGACACATAAGACTCTCCCTTGGTCAGCCTAATTCTTCATAAGGGGCTTATCAGACCCTATGCATGGCCAAATGATTGTGATACCCAGGACCTCCATGAAGTTTCCTTTATTGTTGGATCCAACCCCTGAGGTCTAAACTTCTCCCATGCAGACCAACCCGAGTCAGAAATGTGGCACTTGTGAGCTCTATGGCTGCTTCGTCCAACCCAAGCTCCAAACGTGGCAAAGGCCGCTGACCCTAAGCCTCGAGTCTGAACCCCGAACCCCTCAACACGACAGTTCGGGCCAGAAAGTTGGGACATCAGTAGCCCCCTACCCCAAAAACTTGAAGGTACAAAAGTCGCATGAATCCCCCTACTTCAAACTTTTGGCCTTCTACTGAGGCTGGAAGCCCTCTCTGAGGCTCGGGGGAAGTCTGAGGATTCTTTTCAGAGGTTGAGGTATGGGGTGCAGGATTTGGGTTTAGGTTTAGGGTTTTAGGGTTTAGGGTTTAGGGTTTACGGGTTTAGGGGGTTAGGGTTTACCGTTTAAGGGTTTGGGGTTTAGGGCAGGATTTGGGTGCTTGGGGCTTCACGGTTTATCGGAGTCTGTAGGGGCCATTGGGGGATAGGGCTCACATGTGGGGATAATTTCGGATTTGGATTTTTCCGAGAGGGTTGTGTAGGGGTATGTAGGCATTTGTAGAGATTCTGTACCGTATCTCGTGACTTTGAGGGTTGCGGAGGATCTAGGCCCAACCTTGAGTCCAAAATTGAAGTCTTCAAGCCAAATCCTGAAACACGTTTTGTTCTCTTGTTGTCATGCATTTGTAGTTTAAGAGGTTTGGTGATTTACCTGTCTCTGCTTCTTTGGGGGTAGTAGTTCGGGCACATTCAGGCAGAGTAGTCGTTCTACTGGTAGTTGGCTTAGGAGGGACAGCCGGGTAGGCTACTGTCACGCCACGGCATGCCCCGCCCGCCTGTGGCGTTGTTGCTTGCAGTGCCTGCGATGTGGTGTTCAGCCATCGTCTAGTTGGGGCTTTGAAGCTGAACGTGATTCTATTGGGGATTTATAGGGATAATGGAAGATAAAATGGAAACTGCTATATTATATAGGCGTTCTATTGGGGATATATAGGGATAATGGAAATAGTAGAATGGAAACTACTATATTTTATGGGGGTTGTATTGGGGATATATAGGGATAATGGAAAAATAGAATGGTGTTGCAAACAGCTTAAAATTTCGAGGGGCCCAATAGAAATGCGCAATACTGATTGACGGATAGCTCTTAGGGGCACTTGGAAATAATCTTGACTTTTTGCTTATTCTAATCTTAAGAAACAGGAAAAATTACAATTTTTGCTATGGTTCCAAGTTCCCCCTAAACCCTAACCCCTGAACCCCTAAACCCCTAAACCCCTAAACCCCTAAACCCTAAACCCTTAAACCGTGTGGGCTGATATGCCAAGGCCAATGGACCCTGCTTTGCGGCAAGTGCGCGGATTGTAGCGTCGGAAAAAAGATGGTGCTCCTTCGAAGATGGCGGGGTTTAAGGGTCTAAGGGTTTAGGGGCTTAAGGGTTTAGGGTTTAAGGGGGAGGGGGGCGAGAAGATGCCTGAGCTCAAAGTTTGTTTCGCAACGGCAAGTAGAAGTTGCAAGGGAAACAGGGGCCCCTGAAGCTCAAGACTCGGCCATAGGAAGCCCAAACAAACAAAGCACGAAGCTAGAGATCTTGCTGGCTACATGTGTGAAGCCCCACATCCTACTTAATGCAAGCCCAAGCCCTAGGGTCCAGAAGCCTGCAACCGTAGACTCTCCACTGTGAGGGTGCTGCTGGCCAACTGCTCAAGCATTAGCTTGGGGTGGCGCCCTGGCCCCCCACAGTTTTGTGCCTAGATAGGAAAAAGATCATCAAGCTTGTGAAGAGCCACAGCAGAGTCACATTGCAAGATTATGAGCGCACTGGTGTGTCGGGATGTTTTAGCTGATTTTAGTTGTAAACACATGCGCAGGACCACAAAGTCCTGCGGATTCTAAATGAGACAGCACCCGTGGCCAGCCAGTCAAGACAAGCGGCAATGAGAATGCGAGGAGGTGCTCTGTGGAAAGCCCAAGGACATTCATTGAAACTCCTTCAAGCATAGAACGACCTGATCTTGTTCTAACCGGTACCTAGTGTTCCTCGTGACAGTAAGGACCTTGACTCTACCTACCTTGGACCCTCCGATTTCTGATCCTTCATTATGCAAAGGCTATCCAGCCTCTAAACTCTCCCCGGTCCCTGCTTTTGGGGCCAGCCGTGCTCCGCGGGGCCATGAAACGCCATGGCTACAACCCGGAGAACACCTCCAATGACTTGGAGTGCCACGGCTTTTGAGGGTTATGTTTTAGACTTCAGGATGTGCAGCATTCTAGGCTGCGGTGTTTCAGCTCCGGGTTTGGCATCTGGGTTTCTGCGGGGGGCTCCCCTGTCCGCAAGACTCATGCTCTGCTTCCATACTGGCTACCTGCAAGTTTGGGCCCATCAGCTCCAATGCCTGCAGAATCCATGGCCGCAAGCAAAGACACATTGGGAAGTTCAAAGTTTGGGATATGAGAGGTTGGCATACATGTTTTGAGTAGACGCGTGCGGCCTTCCTTGCTCATGTGTGGGCTTCTTCATGCATGGCTGCCCAAAGAGGCGCCATTCCGTCTTGCAGCAGATGCTCGAACCGCCGGAGGGATGGATCGTAGACCAGGAACTTTGTGCGAGAACTCGGCCAGCAAGGCTCGTCTCTGCCTGGTGCTCGCTTCATATGGAATGGCAAGCAGGCATGGTCTGAAGCGGGGCTGCCACGTTGGTTTCCATAAGGGGAGGGGCGCAGCGAAGCTGAACAGAGCATCTTCAACTGAGCAGAGCTCGTGCCGGACTTGCATGACCAAAGATGAGCTTCTAAGGCGGCTTCAGGACCACGCTGCGAGCAAAGGTGGGTCATGCCTGGCAGAGCTCTACCAAAACACCAGGACGAAGGTCCAGTGGGAGTGCGAGCATGGCCACCGATGGCATGCCACTCCGATCAGTGTTTTGTGCAACAAGACCTGGTGTCCGCAGTGCGCTGTTCAAAGGCAAAGGAGCACTCTGGACCGATTGCAGGAGCACGCGAGGAAGCGAGGCGGAAAGCTCCTGTCCGCAAAGTACACTAACAACAGGGCCAAGTATCGCTGGCAGTGCAGTTTGGGACACGCCTGGGAGGCCACTGCCGAACGTTCTGAACTCTGCCACCTGGTGCCCTGAATGCGCGCGAAAGCAGAAAGTGTCCACCAGGCGAAGCTTGCAGGACTTGCAGGAGCATGCAGCTTCTCGTGGAGGCCGCTGCTTAGCCACTGAATACTGCGGTGTGACGAGGAAGGTGCAGTGGGAGTGCAAGGAGGGCCACAGGTGGCTTGCAGCTCCGAACCATGTGCTGAACAAGAACAGCTGGTGTCCTGTATGCGCGCGGAGGGCTCCCATCGGCTTGGATCGGCTGAGGGAGCATGCGGCGCAGCGAGGCGGGGAGTGCTTGGCGACTGAGTATGTGAACAACCGCAGCAAGGTGCCGTGGAAGTGCGAGCATGGACACGTCTGGCAGGCAACAGCCGACAACGTGATGCGCCTGGGTCAGTGGTGTCCGCACTGCAGGAAGATTGGGCTTCCGCGCGTCCAGGCCCACGC